TTTTACAGAGAGGAAGGGAGAGAGATAGTTAGAAACATCGATGAGAGAGAAACATCGATCAGCTGCCTCCTGCACATCTCCTACTGGGGATATGCCCGCAACCCAGGTACATGCCCTTGACCGGAATCGAACCTGGGACCTTTCAGTCCGCAGGCCGAGGCTCTATCCACTGAGCCAAACCGGTTTCGGCAATTTTGGATATTTTATGCAGTTAGGCAGTTTATGCCGTTATGTCTTCAATGCACAAGTTTTTTCTGCTGCAATATTTAATCTGCTATTAATTCCACTCAGTGTATTTTTCATTTACACATAGTTTTCATCTCTAAAAGGGTGTCTTAACTTTTTTAACATCTGTAATAGTTATAACTGTTTTCATGTTCTTATCTGTTGCTTTTACCATGTACTAGTATGTCAGTTTTTTTTTAAAATATATTTTATTGAGTTTTTACAGAGAGGAAAGGGGAGAGATAGAGAGCTAGAAACATCAATGAGAGAGAAACACCGACCAGCTGCCTCCTGCACACTCCCCACCGGGGATGTGCCCGCAACCAAGGTACATGCCCTTGACTGGAATCGAACCCGGGACCTTTCAGTCCGCAGGCCGACGCTCTATCCACTGAGCCAAACCGGTTTCGGCAGTATGTCAGTTTTGATTGATTGATTGGATTGTGTTCTGCTTCTTTGTATGCCTGATCCCTCTCAGGCATTTGACAGGATATTGATTTTCATTTGTGCATAAGAAACTACCTGATTGCCACAAAAGGCCATCAGAAAGAATTAGAGGGGAACAACGCCTAAAATTTATCCAGGACTGGAAATAGTGTCTGTTCCCACTAGCCAGACTGAGAAAACTCATAATTGACAGGATATTGTGTAGATTATTCAGGAAGGTGTTGCATCACTAGTAGAGAATAATTAGCCCCAGACTGAACATTGCTCCAGATCTACCAAAAACATAACCTGAAAGGATCAAATGTTTCCAAGTAACTGCATCCCAGAACAAAGCTCAAGATTTATAGGAATACACAAATACGCACACAAAAGAGAGTTCACAAATATTCAGAACTCATTAAGGTAAAATTCACTTATCTCTGTTTTTATTTTTTTAATTATAGTAAGATTGAACATCTTTTATGTGTTTATAGTGCTTTGTATTTTTTTGTGAACTGCCCATTCCTGTCCTTTACATACTTCTTTCTTTGAGTCATTGGTCTTCTTTGTTAGGTATCTGGCTAATACAGTTGAGGAAGATGAAGAAGAATCCAAATATGAAATTTTTCCATGGGCTTTAGGGAAAAACTGGAGAAAATTGTTCCCTAATTTCTTAAAATTAAGAGACCAACTCTGGGATAGAATTGACTATAGGGCTATTGTAAGCAGGCGATGCTGTGAAGAGGTAAGATTTTAAAATACTTGATATGTGTAATCTCTGTCTTTTGTTCATATAATTTTCCTTGTTTTTTAATGTGCTTCTAACATTTTATCTTTTTGTATATATAAGGGTAGATCATTAACCTTGGTTACCATGAATACAACTTGTGTATTGCATTGTTGATGTTTTAATTTTATACCATAAGAATTTAAAATTGTGATTTCTGTTTCTCAGAGCAGTCTGTTTCTGTAGGATTTTTATTTTAGTTTGTTTCTCTTGTCTAAAAGATCACCAATATATTGGAAAAGGATAAGTGTGCATATTTCAAAATATCTTATGGTAATATCATTGGAGTTAAATAATAATTTCATTAAATAAAATATATGAAATTCCAAGTCCAAAGATTTAAATGTGAATTGCATGATATAAAATTTATATAAATTTAAATATGTTTAAAAGCCATAACTTTTTTTCACATAGAATACATAAAGTTTCCTTGATGCCAGATTTTATTAAGATAAAGCAGAAAGACACTAAAAGTTAAAAGATTGGTTATTTTATTTAATGTTCTGGTTTTCAATAAAGAAGAAAATTAAGGTTTAAACTAAAGAAAAATTCTAAAGAAGAAAATGAAATTAAATCAGTGATCACTGTAAGCCAATATTAATTAAGAAAACTTTGCTAGCCCTGGCTGGTTTGGCTCAGTAGGTAAGAGCGTTGGCCTGCGGACTGAAGGGTCCCAGGTTCGATTCTGGCCAAGGGCACATGCCTAGGTTGCGGGCTCAATCCCTTGTAGGGGGCGTGCAGGAGGCAGCCGATCAATGATTCTCTCTCACCAATGATGTTTCTATCTCTCCCTCTCCCTTCCTCTCTAAAAAATCAATAAAAATATATTTTTTAAAAAAGAAAACTTTGATAAATGTGAGCTAGATAATGCTATAATTAAATGAAGTTATATCCAGTTAAATGGACTATAGGCCAAAAGAGACAATGGATTAGTGTCAAACCTAAGGAGAACTTTAGGGGCATATCATAAAACTCTGCCCAGAACTAACCATGTTAGTTATATTTATTAATGAGATAAAGATTTAGCAAGTATGCCTATTTGTAGATTAAAATAGGAGGATTGTTGAATGTTGGGGAAAATTAAAGGATTCAGAGATAACTTAGAAATTCAAACCTTCATACACTTCTTTTGGGAATGTAAAACAGTGTTGCTTTGGTAAACAGTCTGGGTGTTCCTCAAAAAGCTAAACATAGAATTCCATATGAGGTCAGCATATAGGTACACTTCCCTAGTTTGACTTCTTAAATACTAGTAGCTACCATTTTCCAGTTGCTTATAATGTGATACAGATTTTACACACATCTAACCATCAGAACAACCCTGAGGTAGAATACTATCCCCATTTGAGATATAAACAAATTGAACCTCAGAAAGGTTAAGTAACTTGATCAGTATCATACAGCTAGCAAGTGGCAGAACCAGGATAAGAAACTAAAACTGATTCTAAAGGCAGTGTTTTATCTAACAAACCTTAGACAACAGTGACTGATAATGTAGTGAGGAATCTTAATTGCTTCATAAATAATTCATGTAATCCTCACAACCCTCTATAATAGACACATTCTCTTCATGTTACAGATGAGGAAACTGAGGAACAGAAAGGTTAAGTAACTTACCTTTGTTCTTACCATATCCCTTGCCATAATTGCAAACATTTTAAGATTAGCTTAACATACATAGTTGGAAACCTCAATTAAACATATTCTTCTCAGCCCAGTATATTCCAAAGCTAATAATTGTTTTGGGATAACTGTATTGTTTTTCACAAACTTAAAATATTCAGAATTGAAAAACCTAGAAGGTTGCTTCAGTCCTGTTTCGTATTTGAAATAATTTAAATTATTGTCATGGGTTCAAGCAATGAATCACTTTATAGGTAAATACTGTCGTATCTGGAAATGCTTTTTTTTTTTTCAAGATTGTAACTTAGATTTTTAAATCTAGTTTTAAAAATAGCTGTTCTTTTTTTCCCCTTCCCCTTCCCTTTTTTCTAGAGAGGAAGTGAGAGGGAGCAAGAGATGAAAACATCAAGATGAGAGAGGATCAACACTGGGAATCAAGCCCATAACCTGGGCATGTGCCCAGACTGGGAATTGAACCATGATCTCCTGGTTCATAGGTTGACGCTCAACCACTGAGCCATGCTAGCTGGGCTAGAGATAGCTGTTCTTAAGTTGTATTTTTTGTGCTTAGTTTTACTAAATCTAAAAAACTTAGTAAAATTCTAAAAGAAAGCTTTCCACTATAGGTTATGGCCATTGCTCCAACCCATTATATATGGCAACGAGAACGCTCTGTGCATCACAGTGGAGCTGTTAGAAACTACAACAGAGATGAAGTTCAACTTCCCCGGGGACCTAGTGCCACACCGGTAGATTGTTCACTCTGTGGTAAAAAAGGAAGATATGTTAGACTGGGATTGTCTTCATCATCGTCTTTATCCAGTGATACAGTAGAGGTGATGGAAAAACATTCTCAGGAATCACACAACTCAATGAGCAAGATATTTGATCCTTCTCAAGCTTATAGCTATCCTCAAGGTATGATTTAGTGATATGTCAGAATTAGATTTATGCAAGTTATTCAAGTTGTTGACCTACAGACATAACATATTCTACAACAATATGAGTTAAATTAGTATTGAAACTTGTCCGCTTTTCATTTACTTTTTGTCTGTGTTACTGTTTTTGTTGGTAGCTTACCTAAACTAAAAGATTTTTAATGTGATTTATGTTAAAGTGAAACCTAATCACCCTGGGTCTCAAATATTTTAAGAGCACTTGAAATGTTTATTCAAAACAAATTTTAAAAGGAAAATAAATTTACTTGTAATCTCATCATCTAGTTTTATCAGTGATTAACTATTGGTTTTCTTCCATACTTTTTTCTTTTAAAAGTTTAATACCACTATGCTACAAGGTTGAAAAATACAGAAGTCCTTTGTCTTACCCCTTCTTATTTTCTATACACTTTTTAAAATCGAGATATAATTGATACATAACATTGTATTAGTTTTAGGTGTACAATATAATTTGATATGTATATATTGCAAAATGATTGCCACAATAAGTTAACATTCATCACCTACATAGTTACAGTTCTTTCCTTGTGATGAGAACTTTGAAGATCTATTCTCTTAGCAACTTCCAAATATACAATACAGTACTGTTAACTGTATTCATCATGCTGTACATTACATACTCAGGACTTACTTATCTTGTAACAAGAAATTTGTACCTTTTGTCCACATTCATTCATTTTGCCTGTCCCCCTAATTCCTGCCTTTTGAAACCACCAATAGGTACTATGTATCTATGAGTTTGATTTTTTATTTTATTTTAGATTCTACATATAAGTGAGATCATACATTATTTTTCTCTATTTTACTTAGCATCATGCCCTCAAGGTCCATCTGTATTGTCAAAAATGTTAGGATTTCCTTTTTTCCGACTGAATAATATTCCATTGTATACACATACCACATTTTTAAAAGCTATTCATCTGTCAGTGGACACTAAGATTGTTAAATAATATGGCAATAAACATGGGGGTGCAGATGTCTTTTAGAGATAGTATTTTTATTTCCTTCAGTGATATTATTGGATCATATAGTAGTTCTATTTAAAAAAAAACAACACAAAAAACCTTTATTGTTTGTTTGTTGTTTTTTTTAAAATATATTTTATTGATTTTTTACAGAGAGGAAGGGAGAGGGATAGAGAGTTAGAAACATCGATGAGAGAGAAACATCGATCAGCTGCCTCTTGCACACCCCCTACTGGGGATGTGCCCGCAACCAAGGTACATGCCCTTGACCGGAATTGAACCTGGGACTCTTGAGTCCACAGGCTGATGCTCTATCCACTGAGCCAAACCGGTTAGGGCACCTTTATTGTTGAGAGTATTACAGATGTCCCCCCTTTCTTTACCTCTGTTGTCCCCCTCCACCTGGATCCCACCCCACCCCAGGCCTTCACCACCATATTTACTGTCTGTGTCTATGGGTAAGTTCTTTGGTTAATCTCTTCTCACCCACCCTCCCTTCCCCTGAGATTCATCAGTCTGTTCCATGTTTCCATGCCTCTGGTTCTATTTTATTTTAATTTAAATTTATTTTTTAAAATATGTTCTTATTGATTTGAGAGAGAGGAAGGGAGAAGAATAGATAGAAACATCTATGAAAGAAAAACACATTGATTGGCTGCCTCCTACACAACCCCTATTGGGGATCAAGCATGCAACCCGGGCATGTGCCCTGACCTGGAATCGAACTGATAACCTCTTGATTCATGGGTTGACGCTCAACCACTGAGCCAAACCAGCTGGGCTGGTTCTATTTTATTCATCAGTTTATTTTGTTCATTAGATTCCTTGTTGTTTATTTTGATTTTTAGATTCAATTTTTGATAGATATGTATTTATTGCCATTTTATTGCCCATACTTGGATCTTTTTTTCTTCTTCTTAAAAAAGACCCTTTAACATTTCATGTAATATTGGTTTTGGTAGCAATGAACTCCTTTAACTTTTTCTTGTCTATAAAGCTCTTTATCTGACCTGCAATTCAAAATGGTAGCTTTGCTGGGTAGAGTAATCTTGGTTGTAGGGCCTTGATTTTCATCACCTTAAATATTTCTTGCCACTCCCTTCTGACCTGCAAAGTTTCTGTTGAGAAGTCAGCTTACAATCGTATGAGTGCTCCCTTGTAGGTAACCAACTCTTTTGCATATACTTGGATCTTTTTTTCTTCTTCTTAAAAAAGACCCTTTAACATTTCATGTAATATTGGTTTTGGTAGCAATGAACTCCTTTAACTTTTTCTTGTCTATAAAGCTCTTTATCTGACCTGCAATTCAAAATGGTAGCTTTGCTGGGTAGAGTAATCTTGGTTGTAGGGCCTTGATTTTCATCACCTTAAATATTTCTTGCCACTCCCTTCTGACCTGCTTCTTCTTAAAAAAGACCCTTTAACATTTCATGTAATATTGGTTTTGGTAGCAATGAACTCCTTTAACTTTTTCTTGTCTATAAAGCTCTTTATCTGACCTGCAATTCAAAATGGTAGCTTTGCTGGGTAGAGTAATCTTGGTTGTAGGGCCTTGATTTTCATCACCTTAAATATTTCTTGCCACTCCCTTCTGACCTGCAAAGTTTCTGTTGAGAAGTCAGCTTACAATCGTATGAGTGCTCCCTTGTAGGTAACCAACTCTTTTCTCTTGCTGCTTTTAAGATTCTCTTTGTCTTTACTCTTTGGCATTTTAATTACGACATCTTGGTGTGTACCTCTTTGCGTTCATCTTATTTGAGACTCTGTGCTTCCTGGACTTTTTGCTAGCAGATTTTTGTGCATGGTATAAGTAGTGGTCTAGTTTAAGTCTTTTGTAGCGTTTCCAACACCGTTATCCTTTCCCAATTACACATACATTCTTGGCTTCTTTGTTGTAAATTAATTGACCATGGTTGTGTGAGTTTATTTCTGGGCTTTCTATGCTGTTCCATTGATCTATGTGTCTGTTTTTATGCCAATACCAATACCATTTTGATTACTGTAGCTTTGGAATACTATACACTGAAAACCTGATTTTAAATCATGACATGATACAAGTACCATATTTATTTGCATATTTCATTTTTGTTGGGATTTAAGTAGCTTTGAACCAGTGGTGTTTTATATTAGAAAATCTTACAAACTAGAAATACTTTTAGTCAAGCACACAATTTTTATTTAAATTTATAAAGGTATAGTATTTCTCTGATATTTCTCAATTTGAAACAATCAGAATAGTATTCTAGCAGAAATCTTTCTTACTTATAGAGCCTTTCTTCCAAATGTTCACCCATCTGAAGACAGGACTGATAGACTTTTGTGAGACCCACATTATTTCAAAATTTCACCTATTTATTTTTACCACATCTTTATGAGATTAACAGTGGCCACTGAAGTTTCACTTAAAGAGAAACTAGACTCTTAAGAAGGTAGGGGTTGCCGAAACCGGTTTGGCTCAGTGGATAGTGTGTCGGCCTGCGGACTGAAAGGTCCCAGGTTCGGTCCCGGTCAGGGGCATGTACCTTGGTTGCGGTCCCTGGTGGGGAGTGTGCAGGAGGCAGCTGGTCGATGTTTCTCTCTCATCGATGTTTCTAACTATCTCTCTCCTTTCCTCTCTGTAAAAACTCAATAAAATATATTAAAAAAAAAAAAAAAGAAGGTAGGGGTCATGTCTCATTGTTTCATTTCCTGGTCTTAGTAATCACTACACAAATTTGACTCATGGAATATGTAGTCTATTGCCTCACAACACTTCCAAGCATAATTTTTATTGGTTCACTCATATTTGAAGGTAAATAGGGTCTACTATAGGAAATAATAAAATAAGAATTTCCTTCTAGCATCCCTCCCCTACTTCCTAACTCCTTTTACCTACACTCTTTGATCCTTATAATAGGTAAGATTTACTAGATGTTTAAAATGTTCCAGGCAGCCGAAGCCAGTTTGGCTCAGTGGATAGAGCGTCAGCCTGCGGACTGAAAGGTCCCAGGTTCGATTCCGGCCAAGGGCATGTACCTGGGTTGCGGGCACATCCCCAGTAGGAGATGTGCAGGAGGCAGCTGATCGATGTTTCTCTCTCATCGATGTTTCTAACTCTCTATCTCTCTCCCTTCCTCTCTGTAAAAAATCAATAAAATATATTAAAAAATAAATAAATAAATAAATAAAAATAAAATGTTCCAGGCAACATTTTGTGTTAAGCATTTTATACCATAATCTTATTTATTATTCACAGCCAAACCTAAGGTAAATACTATTATCTCCACTTTGCAGATAAAGAAACTGAGGTTTAGAGAGTTTAAACAATTTGCCCAAGATGGTGGAGCGACATTTGAACCCAGGAATGACTCTAGACTAGCGCCTTAATTCCTAACTATTATGCTTTACTGCCCCTTTTGATGAAATCCTGCCTTTGTGGTAAAAATAAGGTGCCACACAAGTCTGTCAGCAGACTGCTATGGACTAAGGAAGTAGTGAAAGCATTAAGAACCAAGTCCCTGATGAAAATTTATATGGAGTGAACTGGAAGAGAATACCAACCAGCATTTGAACAGATATTTACAGAAGCATTATATTTTATACAAATTAGCTCCTGTAGTTTCAAGGACAGTAGCATTCACTATATTTTAGGCTTTGATATCTCAACAGGAAATCAGAATGCAGCCAGGGAATAGGGCTCTACCTGTCACCTTGCTCTGAAAAAAACAAAAAGCAGGTCTTTGAGGGATTGTGGATGAAAAGTGTGGTTAGGCCCTAGCCAGTTTGGTTCAGTGGATAGAGTGTCGGCCTGCGGACTGAAGGGTCCTAGGTTCAATTCCGGTCAAGGGCACATGCCTGTGTTACAGACTCATTCCCCAGTGTGGTGTGTGCAGGAGGCAGCTAATCAGTGATTCTCTCTCTTCGTTGATGTTTCTCCCTCTCTCTCCCTCTCCCTTCCTCTCTGAAATCAATAAATATATATATATTTTTAAAAAGTGCGGTTAGGGGATTTGTA